GACATCCTGAGGACCCAGCCTTCCCTAGCTTCTTTAAGGACATCCTGAGGACCCAGCCTTCCCTAGCTTCTTTAAGGACATCCTCAGGACCCAGCCTTCCTTAGCTTCCTTTACCTGACATTACCAGCATGTGATGTTCATCATCATTGTTGCAAGAAGGCTACTCTGCCTTCTGGTTTCATCTATGCATTCCAAGCAGGAGGAAGGAGATGAGCAAAAAAGAAAAAAATCCACCTGTTACCTAAATTTATTTTTCCTTTATCAGGAAAATAATAGCTTTCATAATATGTTTTCATTTATATCTTGTTATCCATATCTACATCGTAGGCCTACTCTGGGCTGTGAGGGAGTCTGGGAAGTCATTTGAAATCAAATTTATTGAGACTAATTTAGATACAATAAAATTCATACACTTTATGTGCACAGATCCATGACCTTGAACTAATATATACACTCTAAAGCTACCACTCTGATCTAGATGCAGAACAGTCCATCCTGAAGAGACAAACTTAACTGAGCATTTTACAATCATGAATGAAAAAATTAGGTTCTAGAAAGGAAATACAATACAGATGATATTAAGGTTGGCCACAGAAAGCACATGCCACACTGAAGCTAAATATTGAGGTAGTTAAATAAGGGTTTGGAAAAATGGAACTGCAAAATAGGAAATACCTATAGGTGGGAGAAGACTTCAGTAACAGTTAAGCCAGCTTAAAAAAGTGAACTTAGATGAGTCTCCCAGACCTATTTATGTATCAGTTTCCAAATGTGAAAAAAATAAAGCTCTTGAAAGGTCTTGTATGTGTCCAAAATCTTGTTCAAACCAAATGAGATATTCATATGAAAGCATATTGAGATCTGTTAAGCTTTATTCAAATATAAAAAATTATCTTTAATTCCCATTATCAGAGATGTTTTCCCTTTGAAAATGATGATGAACTTGAACTTATTGTCCTGAAATATCACAGTTGTGAAATTCAAATATTCTTGTAAAGCATACTAACTTTTAAATTTATTAATGGGTTATAAATCAAGGCAATAAAAATATATATGTACAGAAGAAATTTTACATTTGCATTACTTTCAGCTCTCCTTCACACCATGTCTCTTTCAGGTGGGTGAGTAGTACTAAATACGTAATTTTCTGAGACCTTCAAACATGTGTGATTTCCTAAACTATTAGCTAACATTTTGAAAAATATTACTTAGTGTCTTTAATTCATGTGCAGTATAATTTTTTAAGAAATTATTATTTTTGCAAAATCAAATAATGCTGAACTCTTGGAATATTTAGGAATACCATTTCTGTTGTATGTTCTCAATTTTGAGAAGAAAACACTCTCTTGAAATTCATTCCATGGAATCAGTTGCAAAAAATTAAAAATACAAGCCTATTGTAAGATTTTGAGGGTGCTCTGTAGAATCAGAGCCCTCAACTGCTCGTCATACAGGATCTATGAGGAAATGTGGTCATTTGTGATGTCTGTTTCTCTCCAAGCTTTGCCAGAGCACTGCTCTTTTTGTAGACTTTTACCATGATCAATGCCAATCAATACAGTTTTATTGAAATAAAGGTATCTAATAATCTTGACATTCATTTTCTCTGACCTATAACTTTTTAAAATTAAAAGTTGATTATTATGATTTTCCACTAAAAATCTTTATTGTTTTGTCCATAAAATTTCCAGGTTGGATTCAGGGCTGGCTCTGTTGATCCTTGGGGAGGCTGCCAAATTAAACATGGCCTGCTTGAAAGTTTTAATGGACATAGTGAGAGATTTTCTTTCAACAGTTATGTCTGTTCAGAATCAGGTATGACCTTGCTAGTTTAGATGTGAAAAGAGACCCAAATGGAAACACATTTTATTTTTACCACTATTTAAATTACAAATTATATTAGACCTTGTAACGTACATAACTTTGTAATAGTAATTTTAATTAAATATAAATGTATGTTTACTATTTACTGTTATACTTACCATTCATCATAAACATGTTTCTTTGTCATTAAATAATATTACTTTAATGCCAGTGAAGTAATTTATTTAGCCATTTCTCTATTGTTGAATATTTGAACATTACAGTTTTTTCCAGTTGATCATAGTTAATTACATGTCATGTTGAATGGTTATTCTCATATGTAAAATCTTTATTTGCATTTCTGTTACTCAAAAATAGATTAATAAAATTACTGAGTGAAAGACTACAGACATTCTTTTAAGGTTCTTGGGATAGATGTCCAAATTTCTCTCCAGAAGATATAACTTTTTTTTACTACCACAAAAAATACAGAAAAATACCACATAGTAGAACTGAACTTTCTATCAAAAAGATTTTTTCCTAATAAAATGTGGAAAATGGTATCTTGCTGGATTAAATTACATACCATTGACCATTAAGGAAATTGAAGTGTTGTTCTTTCTATATTTATTAACTATATTTTTTATTTTCTGAACTTTGTCCTATGCAATTTAGCATGTTTTTGTTGAAGATATTAGCAATAATTAGTTTATTATGATATTTTCACAACTCCATACAATTTGAAGATATTTTAAGTATAATATATAGTTCTTAGTTGCAACAGAACATATTTGATTATCTACCATCTGTTTTCTCATTTCAGAATAAAAGCTGCAAGGTAGATGATTTTTCCTGGGCCTGGAATATAGTGTACCTATACACAACAATTCTTGCAGAAATCTGCTTGTTTGCAGCAACTTCTGATTTGCGAAAAACTGCTTTTGTTGGTTTCTGCAAATGTAAAAGTTCACAGAAAAATATTTTACTCATGGAAAAATCAGAAAAACAGCCAGAATTATGTGAAACAAGTATTTTAGGACTTTTGGAATATTTCTCTTCAACAATATCAGATAATTGTAAGTAGTTTTTTTCCCACTTTGAGTAATATTTTTTAAGTATTCCTAAGCTTTTTATAAAAGTTAACAGTTAAAAGTAGGAAATAGTTTTAAATTCCTCCAAACTTGGGAAGTTTTTGTTTTTTTTTGAGGCAGAGTCTATGTTGCCCTCGGTAGAATGCTGAGAACAGCTGTTGCCGTTAGGGTCTCATGGAAAAGCCATGTCGCGAAGAATAAGCATGCTTATTGAAATTGTGTTTTAAATAAAGGTGACCATCTGCTTGCTCAGGCAAAATGGCATTCCTTCTTTATTTGCTGTTGGTTTATATAGGCAATCTTGTGCATGTGCACTATATAGCAATGACCTCATTAATATTCATAACAATCACTCTGCACATGCGCATTGGACATCGATGACTTCATTAAGCCATTTAAACAGCTCATGACCACCCACCCTGTAAGTAGCTCCTCTCTGGTAATCTGATAATCCACCCAAAATACACCTTTAAGCATAACCCTTTTAACATAACCCTGTTTAACATAACTCAATGAAGAACATGTTGTCAGCTATTACTTTCTTTGTTCTTATCTGATGAAGCCTGAGGCTATGGGAGAAAGAGACAGTTTGAATGTCTGTTTTACTGACCATGCCATTTGGAGGCAGTTACTTCAAATCCTTAAGCATAGAGAAACTTCTAAGGCATACAGGAATTTGTGTGCAAACCTCTGCTCCCATGTAGGCCTTAAGTCAGGGGGTTTTTGCTCGAGCCTTTTATAAGGAATTCTCAGGCTGGACTTTTCAAAAGCCTTATATGAGCCCGGGTTTCATCTCTGCCATTAGATACCTGTATGCATTGGGTAAATTCCTCTTCTCTTGATGTCCTCTAGCACATTACCATTCCCAGACCCATCAGCAAGTGACCTTCGTCACTTACCACAGATCAGGACAGGTTACTAATGGGTATCTGGCCAGTTTTCAAAAGAACTTTTTCATTGGCCTTATAAAGTCAACCTTAATTCCTTAATGCAGTCTGGAAATGCTACTCCAGCCAAAGCCTTGGTCATGTTAGACCTGCAACTAACCTGACCATATGGGATTCTGCCTCAGTTTCTCACAAGTGTGTCTGCATGAAGTCTTTTCACTGCTTTCTCTCAAACAGCATTTTTGGCCAGAGGCATATAGACATTTTGCCTATAACAGCAAACTCAGACTCATGGGCTTAAGCAATTCTCTTGCCTCAGCCTCACAGTAGCTGGCACTACAGGGGCCTGCCACTGTCTGGCTATTTTTTGGTTGTAGTTGTCATTGTTGTTTGGCAGGCTTGGGCTGGATTCAAACCCACCAGTTTCGGTGTATGTGGCTCCCTAACTCTGAGATGTGGGTGCTGAGCTGGAAGAATATTTTACAACATGGAAATTTTTTATCAATGTATTTTAAAACAACCAAAATAAAAGCTCGATTTAGTTGACTTATGATTCAAATTTTATTTCTTGAAAACCATAGATGGTGTTAGGAAAATCTGTGTAGATTATAAAGTTTATTTCCTCTTTATTTTTATATCATTCCTCATAAGAATTTCTCTCCTATCTTTGATTTTTTCTAGGCACTTCCTGCTTCTCTCTTGTTCTTTTATTGCTCAGAGGATTTCTCTACAATCACTCGACTATTGTAATACAGTCCCCATACCTAACGTCTTCCTTCAATAGCACCTGTCTAAGTATCACAACTAAAAGACATTTTGTGGCCGTGTTTATGGGAGCTAATAGAATAAAATAATTTTATTGTTCAAAGGGTACTTTGGGGGCAATATTAATTCAAATGATCTGCTTCTCAGTTTAGTAGAAGTTCCTTTATAGATTTATTGTGAAAATTATTGCAGCCTACATGTAGTTAGAGTCTATTGTGTATATAACTCTCACTTCCATTACATTGTGAGGTGAGACTAGAGAATTATGTCTAAATTGTACTTATGTTAACCCAGCATTTAGCATAATAGCATATAATAGGTGGGCAATTAATGATAGTGGACTTATTATATAATTAAATCACTGGATTTTAGATACCGTTGTAAGATTTTGTCTCCTTTGAGGGAGACAAGATACCATCTTTTGTCAGAACCATAATTCACTGATCTAGGGTAAACTATACTTGAACGTGATTTCAAATAGTAAGACTTTAATGGCAGATAAAAATTTAATTCTCAAAATCAGGTTCATTATTTTTACTTTCTTTTTTTGAGACAGAGCCTCAAGCTGTCCCCCTGGGTAGAATGCTGTGGCATCACAGCTCACAGCAACCTCCAACTCCTGGGCTCAAGCAAGTTTCCTGCCTCAGCCTCCCAAGTAGCTGGGGCCACAGGTGCCCGCCACAATGCCTGGCTATTTTTTGGTTGCAGCTGTTGTTGTTTGGCAGGCCCGGACTGGATTCGAACCCGCTACCTTAGGTGTATGTGGCTGGTGCCTTAGCCACTTGAGCCACAGGCGCCGAGCCTATTTTTACTTTCAAAATCCTTTCAATTTCACCAATGGTTGGAACCTACCATTTCTGACCATAATTTGTTGGCCTTTTCCCACCTTTCAAGATTATTTGTACCTTTTCTTGGTGCCAATCTTAAACCCATCTTTATTCTTCAGTACACAGATGGTATTTTTTCATGTTTGTACTGTTGCTAATGTAAAGAGATAGTTATTCATTTCTTGTGCTGTTGTCCATTTCAATTATTCAGGCTAGTCATGAATCATCCTCTATAGTAACTCAACACGTGTTTATTAAAATGCTACAGAACTGACTCATCTGCAGTTTGAGGCCTTCAACTCTTATCTAACTGTGCAAAGTTGGTTCTTTCTGGTTCTTTCACTGATCACATCATGGTGGGTCCAGAACAGGTCTGCCCTGGAGAAGATCTTTACTTTCAGAAGCCCCCTGGCCTCCCTTTGGCCATGACCCCCTGGTCTCTGGCATAACCTCATCCTGATGGGTTGTATCTTTTTGTAGACACACATTTTTCTCTCTCTCTAGCAGTCTGATTTTTTCCCAACTAGTTGATAATTTTATTGAATTCATTTGCTCATTGTTGATCTTCTTTTTTGAAGTTTCTTGTCTTACCCTGAAGACTTTATATTTTGATGGCACAGAATTTGGGTGAGTTCTTGGAAGAGATTTTATCCTTCTGTTTATCATCTACCTCTGCTCAGTTTTCTGGAAAACACACCCCAAATCTTTCTGGCTTAAATAATGCCTTCTTTCCTGACAATGGCATCAGCAGTAGAATTACTGAGAATTGTATTTAGTGAGCTTTCTGCCTTCTGAGCAGAGTCACACACTGTAGAGAGCTCTCTGCATTCAGACTTGTCAAGCATATGTCATGCTTGGTCATTGTTTGCTCATCTTTATAAATCTGAATAAGCACACTTGCTTCTGTTCAGTATGAATCCAGTACCAAAGGAAAAGTAAGACATCTAAGGACATCAAATTCTAATTATATTCATGTGCATCCCAAGATGAGGTAGATGCCAAGACACTTGTTTCATTAAGGTTGGTACTTTTGTATAATCATTTTTCATCCAATAAACCTTCTAGCAGTTCTTCAATATTTAAGTACCAAGGACTAGACAGTGTTATGGATGAAAGAGCCATCTCTGCAGATGTTTTATTCTTTAAATGGCACAGTGACAGAAAGGGAAAAGGCAATCCCTAACAGACTAGATCCGAGAAGGAGATGCCCTTTGTACATTTAAAAGTGGTACAGAGACAATGATGGGTTTTTTTGCTTTCACTGGTGCCTTTCCATGCTTGCGCTTGAACAAAGCAATAAAATGAGTAACCAGTATTTTGTCTGTTTTCTCCACCCACTGGGCAAATAGATGTTTGTAGTGGTGGATGCTTTTAAAGCTTTGATCTGCAATAAGGAGGATGGGCATAGAAAAGTGCCTTTTCCACAGTCAAAATGCAATATGTTTTCTATGACATTGAACTTATTTTACAGTCCATAAATACTAGTGGTATTTGTCTCACTGATGACTCTGAATACTTTGTAACCCTAAAAATGGGAAATTTAGGAAATGATTGAAATAAGTTGATAATATACTAGTGGTTTGGTGAAGACATCTCAAGGATACGTTCTGCAATTTTCTTCATCTCCTTCAGAACTAGAGAGGGTATCGCATCTGGACACAAGCTTTTGCTCTTCTTGTCCTCGTGCTTCTATGGGATCTCTGGCTTCCTTAATTGGCCACTACCATGAAAAGTCACCACTTGACAAAGGCTTGAGTTGTCAAATACCTCCCACGTCAAATTACAAACTAGACTGATGTGGTTCATTATAACTTGATTCATTTTCATTCATTTTCAGTTAGGAAAAAAAACATTATTATAGAGCAATAATTTCTTTTTAAAAAGTAAATGAAAGTTAATTGGAATCTTGGAACCAATTAAAAATTTTAACGATACTCTATTAAATCTTCAATATACCTCTTACCTTGATGAAGGTTATTCAGAAAAAGTATTCATTAATAAGGTTGTTTTTTATACATAGGAAAAAAATCTCTATACATGTTAGCAATAGAATTGAGGTAACACTAATAATTCTTGGTTCTGTGTGCTGACAAATGTAATTTGTGCATATTTAAACCACGCACACACACACACACCCATGCATCCACCACCATAATAAAGATAATGGGTACAAAAGCCCAGGCTTCACCACTATAGAGTCCATACATGTACTAAAATTCAACTTATTTCCCCTAATTCTATGACAATTTTTTAAAAGGGAAAAAAAGATAAATGAAAACCCCTGTCACCAAAAGTTTACCCATACCCCTTTGCAGCCCCTCTTTTATTTCTTTATCACTCACATACTCTGGTAGGTAATAGCTAATTTTTCCATTGCATTCGAGTAGTTTATATTTCTAGAATTTTTAAGAAATGGAATAATTTGCATCAGTGGGTCTTGGCTGGGCTTCTTTCACTTAGCATAATTATTTTGAGATTCTATCAATGTTACTGTGTGTATCAGTAG